ATGAAACAAACTTTCAATAACAGAAGGGTGTCCTTGGTACTGTATTTGTTGCATTCGTGAAGAACAAAATATGAGATAGTTGAAGAGGACACATTTCCTACTCAATATGAACTTCCTAAACACCTGCCTGAGACAGAATCCAAAATGTTTTCAGCACTAAAATCTGCTGAGAAATAAATGGTTTTGCTTTAAGGTCTTGTTCACACCGGCCTGCCACACAGAAAGCCCAGCCGCTGGGAAGACTGGTGCTGATACGGCGATCCCTGTTTGTTAGAACTTTACTGATATGTCACCAGTGACTTTTCAATCTGTTCTATCGCCCGCAGTGTTGTGCCACGTAACGGACTACGTCACATCCCGCCGTGATGAAAAAAGTAGTGCGCGTCATACTTTTTTCACACCACAGCAGCACTGAGGTGTGTACTGGGCTGATTGTAAACATGGCAAGTTGCTTTTCTTTGTATTGGGACTGTGCAGCCCCAATGAATCCCCAATGAATCTGCTCCAAGCTTGCTCCCGTGATGGACTACAATCTCACGTTTAGTTTACTCATTTGTATTGAGATTGTAGTCCATCACAGGGGCGAGCTTGGAGCAGTGACTACTTTACAACACACACAGGGACCACGGGGAACACACGTAGCCACCCTCCAGAAGGAAGGACAGTGTCAGCACCAATTCAGAGATGATTTGAGGATCTACAGCCGAGTGATACACAAATAAGATACATTGTTGTTAATAGTTAAGGTACTTGAATGTATTTTTAAGATTTAACTCCTGAGTTTTGTGTCACTTTAATTCACTCTGGGTGCAGCCATTTTGAAGTGAAGTGTCCAGGTACACAAAGCTGTGTTGTACAATGTTCTACCCTCGTACTTTATACAATAGTATACTTTATGTGGTGTTTCAAAAGCTGGCATTTCCAAGCTCCAATTTTTCCTTTCAATTAGACGGCTTACAATAGACAGGAAGAAATAATGAACTGGAAAAAATCATAAACGATATTATTGTATCTTATCTCCGTCTTGTGCACAACAATCCTTTTACACAGCAATGGATCTCGCAAGAGCTTTCGTCACACAGGGCTTTGAAAACACCTACAGTATTGCTTATCTCTGTTTCAGCACAAACATCCTCCCAATTACTGCTTCCGCTTCAAGCTTCTACAGTGTGAAGGGGCCATATGACTGATATCCTGACATGTTTTTTGTCAAGCAGCCTACCAGAGATCGAGCAGGTTCATTCTCCTTGAGAGAGAGAGAGCGGATAAACAAACTCTAGAAGAATAGCACCGATCCTAATGGTAATGGCAAAGCTCCAGTGTTTACAAAGTCAATGCAAAAACCTTTCAGTGATGACTGGATAATACAATATCTATCTATCTCTATCTATCTATCTATCTATCTATCTATCTATCCATGCATGTACTGTATATAGTATATATATATATCTTGGCACAGAATGCAGATATGCAATTGGCTCATTTGAAGTCTAAAATAATTTTCATACAAAGATATTTAAAAAAATTCAAACATCAGTACAGTAGAACTTTCAAGGTGTACAAGTGAGTTCATATATAAAAAATAAATGTATCTATACATCTTTAACATACATCTGAATATACACAATGACTTGGGAATTTGGGAATTTATCAAAACTGGAGTAGGCAGAATCTGGAGCAACCAATCAGCATCCACCTCTCATTTTCAAAGCTTAACTGAACAACCTGAGAGAAGCTGATTGGTTACCCAGATTGGAGAACTGCTCCAGATTTTGTCTGCTCCAGTTTTGATAAATCCCCCACCCTCCATGTCATTAAAAATATAAAACTAAAATCCAAAATTCAGCCTCCTTGTGAACGTCTGGAACAAGATGCCTCTCTATCATCGTCCAGTCAATAATTGCATATTAATAGTCCTCAAATTCAGTCCTAATAAACGGTTGTATGTGGTATCTGAACGATTCTGTAGGAGGCTTGTATCTCTTTATCTCAGTCTCTACGCATTTCACCTCACAGAGGCTTCTCCAGGAGACAGACGTACATAGATATGTGGAACCACTGCAGACTGAACTTCACGTGCGGGAGGTGGACAATACCCCCTATCTAGGTGGCGGAACCACATGAGAGGAAGAACGCAGCCAACACCAGCCAAGAATTCCTCAATCAATATCTGGCCTGGTGGCCCAGTGGCTTCCACACACATAGGCAGGGCCGGATTTCCCACAAGGCCAACCAAGGCTCGGCCAGGGGGCAGCAGAGAGTAGAGGGGCAGCAGGGGTGTGGGATTCCTATCTCCTGATGCCCTGGACATGCAGTTCCAGGTGCTTGGCCGGTAGTTGTTTTCTACATTTAGCCCTGCTTTGGGTAAGCAGAGCAAAATGTACAGTGGTGAAGCCGCCGCTTGTTTTGTACAAGTGATCTCAGTGGTGTCTCCGAGATCACTTGAAGGCAGCCTGCAGGTCTGCCATTGTTGGCGGGTAGGGGGGCACATTGAGGAACCTGGCCTTGGGGTAGCAGAGAGAGGAAATCCGGCCCTGCACATAGGGGAGGTGATGCATCACTGAGTTTTGGGTTTTGAGTCCAGTTCAGGGCAGGTCACCACTGGTAGGCAGGACCCATCTATCCAGCAGATCCCGAGGGAGCAGCACTACATGTACTTTGGAAAACATCTGAACAACAAGGAAAGCAAATGTCAGTTCCTGTGCCAGTCACAGTTCACAGTCATGAACAATGGGCACAATATTAGATTACACACGTTTGCTCCTCTTTTCATTGGAGTTCCAGAAGTAGCTGGTGAAAATCTATTCCCGGCTTCTGTACTCATTTGTAGTCATAAGCATGTCCTTGGCTGTATGAGGTTACACAGTCAGAGACGTGGTGACCACAAGGCATACACAATCATTTATGTCAGATCTGGTATGGAATGACACGTGTTCTACCAACAGTGCGAGCGAATATAGAACGTTACACTGCTTAATATAGACATTTCATAGCATAACTGTTACTGGATTACAGTCTTGTCTACAATTGCCTTCTAGATCTGGGAATTCTACATGTATACCCATTATATAGAGCAGTTTATCTATGAATGGTTGTTTTCTTTACCCTGCCTAGGTTTTATAAATGCATCTAATTGTGTCTATGAACAGCAACAAATGTAACCGGAATATTGCTAATGGATGTTCTTTAAAGGGTAACTTCACTTTCTCACAAAATATAAAAAAATTAACTTACCGATACCACATGGCCACCTCTTCCAGCCCCCTGCTGCCCATACCTGTGTGATCCCCCACCAGCAGTACGTAATGAGCATAATGCTCGCAAATGGTGAGCTCCTCATTGGTCAGCATATTTACATGGCCATTCTGACCCATGGGAAGCATGGTGAGACCGCACACAGCCCTGGTGAGACCGCACACAGCCCTGGTGAGCGCTGGTAAAACCTCACACAAACCCGGTGAGACCGCACACAGCCCCGGTGAGACCGCACACAGTCCTGGTGAGCACTGGTAAAACCTCACACAGCCCTAGTGAGGCCGCACACAGCCCTGGTGAGACCGTCCACAGCCCTGGTAAGACCGCACACAACATTGTTAAATAATGTATTGGTAGGATTTGTAGTCCCTCTACAGCTTGGAGTCAGTGGCAGAACTACCAGGGTTGCAGCTGGGACCTGGCTCTGGCGCTCTACCACTATCCTAAAATCTGTATTGTTTTAGAAAAACTGTCACATGACAATAAAAAGAGGTGTTGGTAATTGGTATCGGCAAGTAGCAAATGTGGTGTGTTGTAGTGCTGCCTCCTATGTGTTGCTGTGAAATGTGTTTTCAAAAAAAGGGTTAGGTGCAGTTCCCGGTGTACCGGGCTGCGTTACGCTGCCCATTCAAAATGAATTAGCTGCCTTAACGCAATGTACCACATAACATGCATTGGTGTGCATGCCCTAACACACTGCACAGGTGTAAAGCTGGCCTAAAGCATTCTGTTTTATCCTCAAATAGTAAACACAAAGGGGTCTCATTATAAACGATTTGCAGAGCCATTTGCCCTGCAAATCTCTGTCTGTATATCTTTCTGAACGTTCATTCTGTGAGGCAAAAATGAACGTTCTTAGATATATTTTCTTTTCCCTTCAAATGTAAGTAATGTAATACTGCATTTTGACCACTGGATGGCGATAAGGAGCATATAAAATAAGTATTTTGTTCTATGCTCCTCAACTTCATCTAGTGGCTAAAATGCAGTTAGACCCCAGTAGACCCAAAAGTGTCACTGCCTTCTTCAGCTTTGCACCAGTTCTAGATATGTTCTGCCTATTATTGTATATTTGTATTTTCCTTAGTGATATGTAGATTCTACATCTCTAGCTATGCTTCCTTGCTGTCTGCTCTTTGATTTCTAACAATAACAAGGACATGTTTATATGTGTATGCTCTACAAATGAGCTGATTGTTGAATGAAACACTTGAGAGCTAGAGGGTTCGGGCGACTTCTTTTGCACCAGTTGGATTAATAAAAGTCTAATGCCGGCTCCTATTTTGAAGGGCGGCTTCCTTTTTCCATTGAATGATTAGCTTAAAGGGGATGACAGACTGTTGGTATGACCAGTGCCCACAATTGGGGGTGTGCGGGCCGGTGATCTGCAGCAGAGTGCTAGATTATGTGTACACATACATACAGATTCAGCACTCAGGGCCTCTGTTAATACAACTCTATATTGTATCTAGAGTTAGAAGAGCAACTAAGAAGCAGGAGCTGTGCAGATGAATCTTCTGGGCAAATGTTTCGAATGTGAAGTGAATGTGCATTGAATGTCACATTCATATTTTAGAAATAAAGCCCCTATGTGCTTTTTAAATTAAACTAATCTCATGGACTAGGGCAGTGGTGGCAAACCTATGGCACGTGTGCCTGAGCGGGCACGCGGGGCCCTCTCTGCTGGCACGCAAGCCCAGGTCCGCCGTACTGTTTAACTGATGGGCACGCAGGCACAGTAACAATTATTTGATATGTCGGATGTCGTTGTCGGATGCTGTGCAGGCGCACTGAGGGGAGTTGTAGAACACTATGGGGAGAGAAACCGCGCAGGCACACTGAGGGGAGTTGTAGAACACTATGGGGAGAGAAGCCACGCAGGCACACTGAGGGGAGTTGTAGAACACTATGGGAAGAGAAGCCGCGCAGGCACACTGAGGGGAGTTGTAGAACACCATGGGGGGAGAAGCCGCGCAGGCACATTGAGGGGAGTTGTAGAACACTATGGGGGGAGAAGCCGCGCAGGCACACTGAGGGGAGTTGTAGAACACCATGGGGAGAGAAGCCGCGCAGGCACACTGAGGGGAGTTGTAGAACACTATGGGGAGAGAAGCCACGCAGGCACACTGAGGGGAGTTGTAGAACACTATGGGAAGAGAAGCCGCGCAGGCACACTGAGGGGAGTTGTAGAACACCATGGGGGGAGAAGCCGTGCAGGCACACTGAGGGGAGTTGTAAAACACTATGGGGAGAGAAGCCGCGCAGGCACACTGAGGGGAGTTGTAGAACACTATGGGAAGAGAAGCCGCGCAGGCACACTGAGGGGAGTTGTAGAACACCATGGGGGGAGAAGCCGCGCAGGCACACTGAGGGGAGTTGTAGAACACCATGGGGGAAGAAGCCGTGCAGGCACACTGAGGGGAGTTGTAGAACACTATGAGGAGAGAAGCCGCGCAAGCGCACTGAGGGGATGTTGTAGAACACTATGGGGAGAGAAGCCGCTCAGGCATACTGAGGGGAGTTGTAGAACACTATGGGAAGAGAAACCCCTGCAGCACAACGAGGGGAGGTTTTGAACCACATGGGGGTGAGAAGCCTCGCAGGGCACTGAGGGGATGTTGTAGAACACTATGGGAAGAGAAGCCGCGCAGGCACACTGAGGGGAGTTGTAGAACACCATGGGGGTAGAAGCTGTGTAGGCGCACTGAGGGGATGTTGTAGAACACTATGGGGAGAGAAGCCGTGCAGGCACACTGAGGGGAGTTGTAGAACACCACGGGAGAGAAGCAGCGCAGGCGCACTGACACTAAGGACTGACACGAGGTTTCTGAGGTATCTGGCTGGCGCACGCACACTAGCGCCATAACCTCATATTGGAGAGCCAGGCAAGAGAGGAGGCAGCAGCGGCCCTCTAATCCGGCATATTAGACGGCCACTCACTGGGGCCCTGAGAGTCCATATATACCCCCTGAGAGCTCTTATAGATCACCTGAGAGCCACACAGCCCCCCTGAGAGGCCAGACAATGCCCCTAAGAGCCGCACAGCCCCCCTTAGAGCCTGCACAGACCACCTAAGAGCCCTTATAGATCACCTGAGAGCCCGTACAGACCACCTGAGAGCCTCTTGCAATGCATCGGGGGACTTGTGGTTCCACAACAGCTGAAGGTTGCCTATTCTTGGTCTACATTGATTGACTCCTGACCATTCCTGTAGAGGCACAGCTGTCAAGTGGAACCCAGAAAACATACCTCAGGAACACCTTCTGATGTACATACCCAAAAAAATAATGCATTCATCAATGACTTGGACCTACTGCACACTGTCTTGAAGTTGCTAAGGGTTAAAGTTTTCTGCTGGAAACTCGAATCAGAAAGTACTTTGTGCTCCTATTGCTCATAGGAAGGTGAATTGCCAGACAGTGCAACACACAACAAAGTACACTGAACCGCATGACCTAAAGGATAAGTGCACTTTAAAATAATAAAATCAATTTTCCCCCTTCAGTGAAGAATAGAGGAGCAAATACCTCAGCCAGCAAGAAGGTCTGGTATTCACTGCCTGGCCTGCATGGTCCACAGCCGTGTGTACAATTACCCTCACTAAAAATAAGGCTTATGTTTAGAAAGGGTCTTGCTATGCAATGTGGTACTCGTGCAAAGTGCCAAGCCTGGCAAGTGAGGTCTACTGCCACTTTTGGTGTGTTTGTAGCAGCCCTGCCAAAGCTGGAGTGCCACTAGTCTACATTTAGTGGGCAGCTAGGCTGTAGCCAACCTGAGTTCTCATTGATATTGTTTTCTGCACACATTGGGGTTCTCCTAAGCCTAGGACATAGGTTACTTCTGCCTGCTCCAGGGGAGTGTTCTCCACAGAATAGAGCAAGAAGATACCATGCTATGGATTATGAATAAGTATTGCACCCTGGCCACTCACTAGGAGTTTTGTTGCCAGTGATGTAGGGTAGGGAAGAAAATACATATTTGGGGAGCCCTTCTAGAAGGGTCCTTGCCAGCCAGGCTTTGTCTGGAGAGGATTCCAGGGTAAGAGATCCTGCCATAGCCTCCAATGCCTGCTGGCTGGGGAAGGTACGAGGAGTACAGAAGTCTTTTTGGCTTCTAGGCCTGCTGCCTGGATAGGAAACTGTTTCACTGCCAGTTCCTAAGGGTTTACAATGTGCCTACAGTATGCTAGGACCCGGGGGGAAAGAAAGGTGGCAGTAAGGGGTTGCATCTTCACAAATCAAAGATTGCTCAGTTCATTTCTGGTCTTGTCTTGAAGGAACACTACCAGCCTGAGAGAGGGGCTAATGATATGTTCATGCAGAAGTTACTTTTTGCTGCTACAACTTGGGTATTCCTAACCCACCCTCCTCTGAACTTAAGGCCAATACATTTTTTTTTTTTTAAACAGACAGAATGGAAACCTCATTTGGTCGCAGCTAGTGGGTCAGTGGATGTTTGGGCTTTAGCTTCAGGGCAAATTCACAGCGGAAGGCTAGGAGGGCCTGAAAAATCCAGCAGCTCCTTTGGGGGGTGAGTGCTAGGGACTGTAACTGTACAGGGACTGTAACTAAGTGCATAGGACCATCTTTGGGAAGGCAAGGGGTGATGCCAAGGCTACTTTTTACAAGTTCACATTTGGGTTCACAAAGGCATTTGGTGCAATGTGGATTTATATTCTTTGTGGCTATTGAGGATGAACGTTTATGTTCCTGGTGTTCAGCTTTAAGGCTCCTTCACATCAGCAGCCGCATCCTACCATGCTCAGAGGCGTTGCACTAATTACAACACATCGCACTGTTTTTACTTTTTTTGCAACTTTATTGAAATGTCACAAAATGACATTTCATTTATTCTATTCACAGCACAGGGTTGCAATGTGGGTGAAATGCGTCATAACATGCCACGTTAAAAAAAAAAGTGGAAAGTGGGGTGATGTGGCCTGAACACATAGGCCACAGGGCAATTTGCCTTGTCTGTGCACTAGGGCTGCCTTGGACAAGGAGACCCTTGAGGTAAAATATGGAGAAATGTGTATGCATTGCAAAGATGCTCTGGCTTCTGCAAGGGTTAATAAAAAAATGTTGCCCGGAGTTCTTCTTTAAGACTGCTGGAGCCCAGGGGAGAAGAGACTGAGAGGACCGGTCTAGCAACTTGGAGGAAAGCTGGGATCCGGTAGGTAATTCTGCCTTATTCTGGCCCCTAGACCAAAACAAGCAGTTAAAAGAGTAAGTGTTTTTCCCCATAGTTCTCTTTAGGGTCACATATACTAACCTCCTCCCGTGACCCAAAGCTCAGTATATTGCGAGCTACTGCCCGCTATATACTGAGAGCGCCGCAGCTGGGACGGATCCCAACAAAACTGTCTGGATCAACCGAGCTGCGGGAGTGACAGCTAGCTCTGCCTATCTAGAGGCAGAGCCAGCTGTGCCCGCCCCCTCCTCGGTCCATTCCTCCACTCAGCGCTGGAGGATCGGAGAGGGGAGGGGGAGCGGTGACTGAGAGTCACTGCTCTCTGCAGGGAGATGATCGGGAAGTGAGCGGACCGGCTGCATGTTTCTGCTCACTTCCCCATCTATAGAGCCGACCTGTGATAGCTTCATTGTCACACGTTGGCTCTAACTACGAGGATGAGTGGAAATCACTCACCTCATAGTTCTCCTTTAAACACTTTCAATGCAAGGGTAAGCCTTTTTATTTGACCAGAGTTCCTCTTTAAAAGATTGCTTTGTTTTCCTGCAAGGCCCTGTGTTAGTTTTTAGCGTGGAACTCTTTTTGTAAGTGGGATACCATGGCGTACTCTGTACCGCTGATACTGGCCTGTCAAGGAGAATGTGCACGGATTCTTTTGTCTGTATGGAATCGTTACAAGTTGCTGATGTTCCCTAAAAGTTATCATGTTATAATCTTGTATCTGATTTTTTTTGAAGGGCATAGTAACGGCGGTGTGTTCCTTCTTCCTCGTGTACACACATGGCTGACTGCAACTATACTTCCTACCTGTTGTGTCCTGTATGTAATTGTTGTGTCTTTTATGACCTCCTGTGATGGTAGTTTCAGAATGTTCGCTAACAGTGTCTTTCTAATGCTTGCCTGGACAGATTCAGAGACAAAAGGATCTTGATTTGATTCATGTCATTTACACAGGCAACAACAGAGGAGCTGAATCACCGACGGCTGGCTTATACCGCACTTTTCCACCACACTGACTGTAGGAAATAATAATAGGCGAGCATCAGGCACTGCCCTCGTTTGTAAGAACATGATCTTACCTTTGTACAGCGCTGGCGCTTACTCAATGATGTTGTTTTACAGAAAACAAAAACTATTCAGATGCATTTCATGAAACAGTCTTTCTTTATGCTGTTCAGTTACCGACTTGAGGACCGGGGTGTTAAACCCCCTTCCTGTCCTGTCCATGTTTCAGTATTACGCGCTGAGGTACTTTGTCTGACATTTATTCAGTCATGATACGCTATGCCGAAATGTATTTTGTATCATTTTCTGGGACAGATAGAGCTTTCTTTCGGTGGCATTTCATCACTTTGGGGGGTTTTATTTTTTACTATTTAAAGAAAATAATGTTATGAAACATTGCAAATAAATAATCTTTCTTCATGCATTTAGGCCAAAATGTTTTCTGCTACATTTCTTTGGTCATGTCAGGTAAATAAGCACAAAACACGTCAAGCCTTAAAATTGCGCGTGCCATTGAAATCGCAAAAAAAAACCAACCCAACCCTACCCAAAATTGCCCATAGGCGACACTTTAAAAGCCGCTCATCAATTTAGCGTTACAATGATTGATGGCCCTAGAAATATCCGATGTTCGCGCTGATATGTAACATAAGTGGCGCAATTGTCGTTTTCGTGTTTGCCTTTGCATGTGTGTGTACATGGGGGCGGGGACTTTAAAAACATTTTTTGGGGGTTTTTTTTCACTAAGGGGCTTATTCACTAATGAGACAAAGTGATCTCACGGCTGGCTCCGCCCAGTTGTAATGACAGATCAGCGTCCCTTAATGACCTGGGGACGCTGATCTGTCATTAAACAATACAACTGGGCGGAGCTGGCCGTGATGTCAGGTGTTATTCATTGGCCGGGACCTGCTAGAAGACTCTGGCAGCTGTCGGCCAATAGGAAATAGTTGGGCAGAGCTAACTGTCACTGCTAGCTCTGCCCAATAGTTTTTTTGATAGTTTCTTTTTTTTAAATATATATTTTTTTCGATTTTGCGATTTGTTATTATTTCTAAAATCATTTTGCAACCTTTCTAAAAAAAATTTTTTACACTTCTTTTCTATTCTTCTCGGTACCTCGGAGGTACCGAGCAGAATAGCCGAGCCGAATGCCGCTTGGTGGCATTCGGCTATTCACTCGCTGCCGTTCGGCCCAAAGTCAAAGTCCTTCTGCACTTCGGCATGTTCGGCCCCTATGAGAATAGATGTTGGATCGGCTGAGTCAAAGTCCTTCTGCACTTCGGCATGTGCGGCTGACAGAAGGCAGCCGAAGGCAGCCGATGTACGGCTGAAATCAACCGTACTAGCCAGAAGTGAATAGCCGAACAGCGTTCAGCTCACTTCACTTCGGCTGGGTTATTCACTCGGCTGCCTTCGGCAGCTTTGTGAATAATCTTATACGTTTTTTAAACTTTTGTTTAACACCCAACTTTATTGATATCACACAGGGAGCTAACAAGCCCCCTGTGTGATAGCACAAATACAGTGACACGTCCTCTTTATGGAGATAACAGGGTTCTATTAGACCCCTAATGTCACCTAAGGACCCCAAGGAAGCTGATGAAGCAGAGATCTGCTTCACCAGCTTATTCTCCTGCAACCGGAGAAATGACAGCTTGAAATCGGT